AAGAATCAACAGATCTAAGATCACTTAAAATTTTATTAAATCTAGAAAGATAGTCATCCAAAGCCTCTCCAGATTTCATCTCAAATTTAATGTACTCCTTTTTAAAAAGATCTCGACGAAGCTCTTTAATATTATTTGTTCCTTGATGAAAGTTTTTCAAAGCATTCCAAATCTCATGAGCAGTTTCAAGATGTGCAACACGAACATAATCAGAACGAGAAATCCCACTCAAAAGAATATTACGAGCTTTGCAATTGTTTTCAAATTCAGTTTTTAAAGCATCAGTATTAATGGCTTCAGGAATCACATAAGGATGAGAAACTTTCCTCCAAATATCATAATTTTCAGCCATAATGTAAGATTGCATCTTACTACACCAATGAGGAAAATCAGTTCCATCGAAAATATGAGGCTTAGTTGAAAACCTAGCGGGAGTAGCCATGGCAAAAACTTTAGATCGATAAAAATCCAAAGAAGAAAACGAGGCTCTGATACCACTTGTTGGATCGAATCACAAGAACTAAGCCAACCAGAGGGGGGGGTGAATGGTTGGTATACCCAAAAACCAAGAACTTTTAGCGGAAATAAAAGTTACCCTCGAAATCGATGGAAGTCGGTCTGACCGAGATTGATTTACCGGTCTGACCGCTCGAATGTCGCCGGTCTGACCGGTATAGATTTACCGGTCTGACCGCCGAAGTCGCCTGTCACGCCTGCTGTCGCCGCCGGTCCAACTGCCTTGCTCCCGCCGGTCTGACCGCCGCCTTGCCGCTGGTCGGACCGCCGATGAGTCGGCTGTTAAACCGCCGAAACCCGGTGAAACACAAATCGAAGAACTCTTAAAGTAGATGGCGACTTTATTACTTCTCTCTGTGTTTACAAAGTGCACCAACAGCACTCCTTACAAAAATTTCGACTAAACTCGAAACCCTAACTCAAAACTCAACTCAATTGCTCTCTAAAGCGATACCGGGAAACCTCACGCTCCCCCTCTATTTATACATGAGGTAGGCAGCCTAAAGCCACGAACCAAACTCATACTAGGAGTCCTAAACACCTTAGGAAACCCACTAGTACAAGAAAGAAACCACTTCGTGAATAAATAAATTCCAAATAACAAAACCAATAATCTCCAATGCCCAATTGTTCATCACAGAATAATAATCAAAAACACCTTTGATTTTACAATCCACCCATCGCTTTCCTCCTCGCACCTGTGGCACTCATCTTCCTCGCGTTCTCCCTCCTCCCTCTCATCTTCCTCCTCGGCTACGCCGGCTAGAATGGTTCGCACCTCTCCCTGCCAGTGCCGGCTCATTTTCCTACTCTTCACTCCTCGCTTTGCTCCGTGCACCCCAAGAGAGTCGACGGCTGCAGTCGGGGTTCCCTGGTGGCCATGGAATGGGATACGGTGTTCTCCCCTTCAATGGCGATACATGAGGGTTCCTCGCCCTCCCTTCTTCTTAGTAGATCTGATGGAGCAGAAAGTCAAAATGACTAGATGTGGAGATTCGTTGTGCTCCTCGCTAGCCCATTATGTGAAAATCGTTAATTAGTGATAAACCATGCGCCTCTTTGCACGCGGACAGTTCCTAGCTAGGGCCACAGAATATTCTATTTTTCATATGTATATGTATAAAGTTTTGTACATGTACCTGCAAACTTTATATGTATACATGTAAAGTTTGCGTGCATATGTATAATTTTTTTATACGTCTAAAGTGTATATGTACTTATATGAATACAATTCATACATATATAAAAAATTGAAAAAATATATATGAAGTTTATACATACATACTTTTTATACGTACGTATAAACTTGATATGTGTACATACAATCAAATAAAATATGTATTCAAAGTAATATACTTACATATATACGTATATAGTAGGACTTAATGAGGGTGGCTATGTGCGCCGCCCATCAGCACTACCCCCATTGCGCAACTCGCTGACATTGTGTCCAGGTAAGTCGTGCAACACGTTATTTTTGGCTGGCACTTGTAGTATCAGGCCTCATACCTAGAGATATCACGGCTAATACCTACAAGTACCAGGTGTTGTACCTACGTACTAGATCGGCATGATTACTTGTGTCATGAGCAGCCATTCTGGCCATCTCATTTGGCCCACTAGCGAGACCGAGGCCAATACTGACCGGTCTCGCGTTTTCGCCTTGCGAGACCACTTGTGTCGTCACGCTGTCGTCTCTATCACGTATTGGTCTTGCGATTTCGCGCTGCCGAACCGTGACGACTGTCTATTTGTTTAAACCGGTTCGAATCTCGTGTTTCAGAAAGAAAAAACTTGAACAGTATAATTACAAAAAAAAAAATCTCATGCATGCATCCATGCACCCCACCCCGGCGGTTCACCTTCCCGCGCGATCATCGAGGCGCCGGCGCGTCGATCGATCGATCGATTCACGAGTACGCGCGCGCCTCCTCGACTGGCAAGCAGCCCAACAGCCGCCTCCCTCAACAAATAACGTACGGAGCGCCATTCAGAATTCAGCAGATAGCTTTGCTTGCTTGCTTGCTCCTCCTCCTTTCCGGCCAGCGAACTCTCTTTCTCTTCTTCGATCGGTTAGCTAGCTCAATCAATCTAGGTCTCAGCTACGACGTACGGCCGCCGCCATGGCCTCGCCGGCGGCGTTGACGGCGGCGGCGGCGAGGGAGCACGTGGAGAGGATCCGGCGGGAGCGATTCTACATCGGGCGAGAGGAGAGGAACCCGCTGGCGGAGGACATCCACCAGGCGGTCACCTACCTCTCCCAGGAGCTCTACTCCAAGGACCTCCATTTCCTCATGGAGCTCATCCAGGTGGGTGTATATCTGATCACTTAAATAGTACTAGTGCAGGATTTACCTGAATATTCATCCATGCGTGCGTGCGTGTTAATCAGGGTTGGAAATTTCTGACCGGTCATTTCGGTCGTCTCCGATACGATATTACTTCGGCCGAAATTTTTAAATTTTTCAATTTTTTCATGAATTTGGGTAATATTTGTTTAAATTCAACTAAATTTTGCTCAAAATTTCCGAAATTTCGGTGACCCCCGAAACAAAGTCCGAAAACGATAGAGTGAACCCTGGTGCTAATCCCATTGTTAATTATTCCTTTCTGAGATAAAAATTAATTAATTAATGCGCGAGTCGATATCGTATGTTTGATTGAATAAGAAAATCTCTGTGTTTTTCTCTCATGGTCATACATGCATGCATGAAGGGAAAACAGAACTGATATAATCTCTCCTATACGATCTGCATCTTGATCCCTGATGGGATGATTGTTTTTAGGCAATTTTTCGCTGAATTTATTGTTTGAAATTTGATGAATTTCTCGAAAACCATTCAGAATATGCCAGGAAATCTACTTTCGTCCTACATCAAAGTATTAAAGTTTAGTGCTTTGATTTTTGACCGGTTTCCATTTGAAATATGCAAGCACCGTCGGCATCATCAACGTCTTATAGAGTGCTAGTACGAAGCACTTAAAAAAAGGGCGAAAACTAAATGTATGACTCCTCAAACAAAATGGAAGTTTGTTGCAAGTTTTTTTGTGTGTTTTTATTTTTCTAAAAAAAATAGTCGTGTGGTACTCCCTCCATCCTATAATATAAGAGATTTTGGAGTGACGTGATATTTTCTAGAACTATGAATCTGGACAGGCTCGCAATACTAAGAAGTGCCACATCTCTCCAAAATCCTTTATATTTTGGAACGAAGGAGTATATTTTAGGGAAACTGCTTACAAAAAAGATAATAGCACAAAAATATTTTGTGTAGCATATGAAAGATAATTTGCGTTATAAATAACAACAGAAAGAAAACATTATAGATAGCATATAATGGATAAATTATACTTTTCAAATAGAATGCAAAAATCTTGAAATTTTACACAACTTATGTAACGAGGCTAAAAAACATATTTTTTTTCTAAACTTATGTTAAGATAAATCAATTGTTAAAATTTACTCCATCTGTCCCAGAATATAAGAAGTTTTAGAGTTGGATACGGTTATTAAAAAAGTAGGGAGAAGTGAGTGGTGGAGGGTTGTGATTGGATGAGTAGTAGAGGTAGGTGGGAAAAGTGAATGGTGGAGGGTTGTGATTGGTTAGGAAGAGAATGTTGGTGGAGAAGTTGTTATATTTTGGGACAAATCCTAAGGGTTAAAAGTTTTTATATTTTAGGACGGAAGGAGTATGGGCATGTTCACTTTGATGCCAAAAAAAACCTTACCAAAATTTGGCATTGCCAAAATTTTGGCAACTTACCAAAATTTTGGTAGGATTTCTTATATAGTTACCAAAATTTGGCAGCAAACTAAATATAGACACTTTTTTGGTAATTTTACTAAAATTTGGTAAGGTTGAAAATAGCATCAAAGTAAACAGACCCTATGTCTATAAGGGAATTTGGGTATTTAAAAAAAAGTTAGCCCAATAACACATTGTAGAAAAGTAGATAACTCGCTAGTATATTATAAAAGAACAAAGTTAATATCAAATCGTTTAATTGAGACAAACTTAGTGACATAGGATAGATTCTCTTATCGTGAATGCCTTTGCCAATGTTAACAAACTCCAAATAGCTCTTTGATTGTACTAATTTATAAAACTAAACTCTTCGTGGGCCAACATCAATTATAGTTAGCATTTGGTGCAATTTGCACTGCGATCTTTGGTGTTGCTAACATAGATTGAAACTTTATATCAAAGCTAGTCTGTGAGAAGATCAAAAAAAAAAGCTAGTCTCTGAGGATATTTTGATTGAGTACTGCATTATTTCTTCCTGCAAAAAAAAAGACATAAAATTGGTATTGGAAAACATTTATTAATAAGTAATAATTAATCAAATCCTATAAAAAATATTGCCGGTGCTCTATTGATTCATTTTTTTTAAGAAAAGAAAAATAGTATAATACATGCACACTCTCGAAAATCGTTGGCAGGTCACGCAACCTGTTCTGTTTTTTTTTTTTTTTGATCAATGAGATGAGATCAGTCTCTGTTCTGAACAAGAAAAGAAAAACTGATGCATCGCCAAACCCATTCAGATCTTCTGCGGTACTGCACACGTTGCAGACAACCTGCGTCCTCAACGCCGCTCTGATCCTTCAATTCCCCCCACAAAAATTAGTCTACTCTCTCTTTTCCCCCCCAACATCAAGATAGGCCGCAACGCGCGCCTGCGAAATCCTTAGGAGCTGCAGTTCATCCTGGTTCGATTTTCTCCTCGTATCTACTGTTTTCCGATGTCTCTTGTCCTGGCATCCCTCCTGCTTCTCTTGATTTGAGGAATACCCACGTTTTCTATTATTATTATTTTTTTGGTCTTGTGCCCTGCAAATCTGTCACCACCTAATGACGCCCTAGAGGTGTTCGTCGGATTGCCGCTGAAGTGATTTGTTACTTAAAAGCCAGTTTGTGTTGTGGCGCACTAAACTTTAGTTACGAGGGGTTGGAATTCTCAAAATAGAACACTTTGACCTTAGAGAATTAATTCCATCTTGGACGAAATTAAGAGGTATGATTCCTACAACTAGCATTTGGATAGTACTTTATTTTACCTGTCAGCTGAGGCTAGCAGCATTCTTCACTTGTGTAATATCTTCAAGCGCACTGGTACTTTGGCTAAACCTTAACTTTCCAACTTATATCACACTATTCAGCAGTGGACTCTGTAAAAAAATGAGACTGTGAGGATGTAGAGGTACCAAAAGCACCATGTAATCGAGATTTGCTAATGTATCAGGAGTTGCCCTTTACTGTTGTTGCCTGGGCATGATCTAGTTAGAGCAATATAATTTCTGAACTTGATTTTTAATTATTAACGATATTGAAGCTGAATTCACATATAATTGAAGACATCTCGGTTTTTTTTATTATTATGTCTTCTTCATTATGTGATCATTATAACCTGTTGAAATATTGAAACTGTACCAGGGGTAACATTTATTAGTTAGTGATAGAGAGCATACAACTAGACATTCAACATTCTCTAATGTGCTGACTTTTTTGGTAGAATGCGGAGGATAATGAGTATCCATCAGATGTGGAACCTGCACTGGAGTTCGTTATCATTAAGAAAGACATCACTGCTACAGGAGCTGCCTCAACTCTTCTTGTCTTCAATAATGAAAGGGGATTTTCTGCTGCAAACGTTGAATCCATTTGTAGGATTGGTAAATCCACTAAGAAAGGAAACAGACATCTTGGCTATATTGGTGAAAAAGGTAATCTCTGTCAGAATATTAGTCTGATTGGCAGTGCCACCCCTGTTGCTTACTTTATTATTTTACCTGATTTAGACAAGTATACAAGGACCTGCAATGCAAATTGTAATGGCTATTTCAGTTTCTTAACATTCGTATTGAATTAGGATCATTTTGGCAGGCTGGATCAATATTTTGGTCCTATTTTTGCTGTGACTATATGAATATTGGTTCACTTTTTACTCTGGAAAAAGATTTGCTTACCTCTACCTGGTGTTAATAGTACATTTGAATTTACTAGTCATCTATACCTTGTCGATGGTCTAAAGATGTCCCTACAACTTGTTATACACTGAATCAAGCATTAGAATTTGCATGGTAACCAACACTTTTGCTTTTGCAGCAAATAACATTGATTTTTTTAAGGCTATCCCATTGGTATTTAAGACTACATTTATAACATCTTGTACTATAGTAATATTGCATTTTTGGTTGTTTGTCCTTCTAAGAAAAAGTAATCACCTTTCATTCAGGTATTGGATTTAAAAGTGTATTTCTGGTATCTAGTCAACCACACATCTTCAGCAATGGGTATCAGATAAAATTTAATGAAGAACCCTCAGAAGATTGTGATATCGGATACATTGTTCCTAAATGGGTTGATGAGAAGCCAAGTATTGATGACATACATGCGGTATATGGCTATTCTAAAAAGCTTCCTACGACCACTATCATCTTACCCCTGAAGAGTGATAAGATACTCCCAGTGAAGAATGAACTATCAAGCACGCATCCTGAAATTCTTCTGTTTCTTTCGAAAATTAGGCAGCTGTCTGTCAGGGAAATAAACGATGATCCAAAGGCCAGTAAGCTTAGCCAGATTTCAATCTCAAGTGAAGTGGACTATAAGACACAGAAGGATATAAATGCAGAGTCATACACTCTCCATCTAGCTATGCAAGAAAATAAAAGGGGTGATAAAGAGGAGTGTACCTACTATATGTGGAAGCAGAAGTTTGTGGTCAAACCAGAGTGCAGAGATAAGAAAAGAATGGAGGTAGATAAATGGGTGATTACCTTAGCATTTCCTCATGGACAACGACTAAGCAGAGGAGCACGGTCACCTGGTGTCTATGCATTCCTGCCAACAGAGATGGTTACTAATTTGCCCTTCATTATTCAAGCTGATTTCCTTCTTGCTTCATCCCGTGAGTCCATCCTGCTTGACAGCCAATGGAATCGTGGTATACTTGATTGCGTACCTTATGCTTTTGTCAGTGCATTTGAAGCTCTTTTGAAATCATCAAGCAATGCCCCATCATTTGCCCTTCCTCCAATTTTTAGGTTTCTGCCAGTAGCAACTTCTTCCATACCTGTGTTTGATTCAGTAAGGTTGTCAATAAAAAACAATATTGCAACTAAAGATATAATGCCTTGCGAGTCCTTTGATACACAGAAGGTTTTCTGCAAACCCAGTGAGGTCGCTAGGCTGGATGGTGCGTTCTGGAGAATTCTAATCATGGCCAAGAAACGTGGAATTAATCTGCAGAATTTATGTTCTCATGGCACTTCTGTCCTGAACTCCTATCTTGATAGCAAGGAATACAATGATGTATTAGGATTTCTGGGAGTTGGATATGTCAACCATGAATGGTATGGTAAGTTTATTGATGGTTCAAATCTTGTGACACAGGCTCCGGAAGATATTTATCTTGAAATATTATCTTTTATTGCTGATAATTGGTGGTTGAAGTTTTCTAATACAAGCATGTCGGATGTACCCCTCATAAAATATGTGACTGGAGCTGATTGTCCGTCATATTGCAGTGTAAGTGGAGCTAACATGCATCATAAGAGGATTTGTATAGCATCCAATGTTAATGACTTACCATGGATTATTGGCTGGAGCAAGGAACTCTCAACTACCTCTAACATGTTCTTTCTGCCCCTGAATACACAGAAGTCTCTTAACACGTTTTGCAGGAGAACACAGATTATTGAGTGGCTTCAGAAAATTGCGAAGCTGGAAATTCGGAACCTCTATGAATATGCTTTTGCAGCTTCGAAGACTATTTATAAGGCAAGTTCTGCTATTGCTTACTGCCACTTCCTTTATCACTCACATGCAAACAAATACATTACTGAGGGGAGCATTATCAACCTGTCTCATGCAATGCCTTTGGTAGATAAATGTGGATCCGTGATAAAACAGAAAAATGCTTTGCTTGTTCCTGCTGAAGGGAGCAACTGGTTTACTTTGATTGGAACGAATCCTTGGAGATCTCAAAAGTATATTGATCTATCAGCAGATTACATGTCTTCTGGAACTTATGCCGGAAATTATACACCTGAAGGTCAGCTCATAACATTCTTAAGGACTTATGCACAAGCAATGGATGTGCCGTTTATGCATCCTCCCAATGCTAGTTTCCCCTCTGTTTCATCTCCTTTAGCTAGGGAGAATGCACTTTTGCTTCTGCAATGGATTAAGAATATAAGATCAAGCAATATCAGTCTACCACATAACTTCTTGAGCTGTATCAGAAATGGGAAGTGGCTAAAGACTTCTGTTGGTTACAAGTCGCCATCAGAATCTTTTCTATCAAGTGTAGGATGGGGAAGCAAGCTACAGATTCAATTCATTTTTTCTGGTGTGCCCATAGTTGACGAAGAATTCTATGGGAGTAAACTGCGTGGGTACGTGGAAGAGTTGAGAGCAATTGGAGTGCAGTTTGAGTTCGCAAATGCTAATTTACACATTGCCGACCAACCGTTGAGCATGGAAAATGTTATTTTACTCCTACAGTGGATCAAGGATCTAAGATCGATAGGTGTCCAACTACCTCATAACATCAGGAGCTATATTAGGAATGGAAGTTGGCTGAAGACATCAATTGGGTACAGTTCTCCGTCACGATCTTTTTTGTTGCCTGCACATTCAGGAAATTTGGGGCAGATCATATCTGTATTTTCTGATGTGGCCATCATTGATCAAGAATTTTATGAAAATAAAATAAGCGCATACAAGGACGAGCTGCATGGTATTGGAGTGCAGTTTGAGTTTGCAGATGCATCTGTACATATTGTCAACTATCTTATGTCAAAATCATCAAACGGTGCTCTTTCTCGGGTCAATATGTTTGCAATGCTTCAGTTTATCAGAAACCTGACCGAGAATAACCTGACCTCTGTAAATTTCATTGAAAAAATTAAAAAGGGCTGCCAGTTCAAGACTTGCCTTGGGAACAGATTGCCAGTAAATTCTATCCTGTTTAACTCAGAATGGGAAAATGCTTCTGTCATCAGCTCATTGCCTTTTATTGACACCCTGTTTTATGGTGAGGACATACTTGAGTACAAACCAGAGCTTGAGCTACTGGGAGTTCATGTTGCCTTTAAACAGAATTACCAGCTGCTAGTTGACAACTTCAGTCTCATTAGAGATCAAATTACTCCTGATGTCACCATACTGATGCTCAAGTGCCTTCGATATGCTGAGATACCTCAACATTTTGCTAAAAAGCTGAAAGAGCTGAAATGGTTGAAGACTTGTCTTGGCTTCAGAGCTCCTCCTGGAACTTTCCTCGTTAATGATGATTGGAAATGTCTTCTGAATATTGTTGATGATGTACCGCTGCTTGATTTGAAGTTCTATGGAGATGAAATTAGGGTGTACGCAGGAGAGTTAAGGAAGGTTAGTGTAATCGTTGGCTTTATAGAGGCAAGTAAGGCAATTGCCTGTAGAGTCACGAAACTGTTATGTTCTTCCTTGTTTACAGAGGAGAGGGGAGTTGCCATGCTGGAATGCTACAGAGAACTTAGTACCAAGCATGGAAAGTTACCTGTTGATCTTGCCAATTGCATGAAGTATGAGAGATGGCTGCATACATCACTTGGATTCAGAGCTCCTCAGGAAGCAATTATTTTTGGTTCTGAATGGGAACATGTTTCTAAAATTTCCAATCTACCCTTCATTGATGATTATTATTATTCTGAGTATGGCCAGGGGAAAGGTATCAGCATCTACAGAGATGAACTAATGGCCTTGGGTGCCAAGGCTGAACTAAAACATGGAGCACCCTTTGTCATCTCTGGACTCAAAATTCCTCATGATGCTTCAGCTATTACACCAGAAGCTGTTATATCATTGCTGAAGTGCATCAGGAGCTGGAAAATGCTTGGCTCAGCTTTACCTGACAATTTCATGAGCTCAATCAACCTGAGGTGGGTGAAGACGACTGCAGGATATAGGCATCCCAAGAATTGTCTCCTGTTTGGTCCTGCCTGCTCTTCTCTTCACAGGGATGATGGCCCCTTCGTAGATGAAGTGTTTTATGGGCAGGAGATATTGTCATATGAGAGTGAGCTGCACACATTAGGAGTTATTGTGGATGCTAGGGCTGGCTGTGCGCTGATGGCGCAGTGCTTAAAGAGTTGCTCTAATGGCGATGCAATTTCCAGGATATACTCATATTTGGAGGCATTACGTTGGAAGCCTCGCAATGCTAACGATAATTGGATTTGGGTACCACAGGGAAGTGATAATGGACAGTGGGTGAGCCCAGATCGTTGTGTTCTTTATGACAGAAATAGCCTCTTTGGCTCTCAGCTCCATGTTTTGGTAACATGGTACGACTACAAGCTACTTAGGTTTTTCAAAACTGTTTTTGGTGTGAAGGGTCATCCAACGATTGGCGACTACTGCAGGCTCTGGATCATGTGGCAGAACTCCAAATCCACTCCGACACCAAAAGATTGTGCTGCTTTCTTTGAATTTGTTGATAAGAATTGGAACACAGAAATTGGCAAGTACCTTGCTGGATCCATCACAAAAGTTCCTGTCTGCTCAGAAGATCGGATCTTGCTACTTCCGAAGCAGGATGTGTTCATTCCAGATGATCTGCTGCTGGAGGATTTGTTCAGGATGCAGGCTGAGCAACCTTTATTTGTATGGTATCCACCAGCTAGCTTGTCTCTCTTATCTCCAGCAAAACTAAATGAGATTTATAGCACTGTTGGTGTCCAGAAAATATCCAAGGTTGTTACGCGGGATGAATCTGAGGACTTGAAGCTCGATCATTCGCTAACCATGGTTCAGAAAGGAACCGTGATCAAACCTGGCTTGCTCAGGATCATACTAGCATTTCTTGCAGATCCTGCTCTCGACTTTCCTGCTGAAAAGAGGCATGAAATGGTATCATGCCTCACCAATGTGGTTGTCTATGAGACAGCTATGCCTCTCACAGTGAGCTATCAGGTAGGGCTTTCTTCAGGAAGAAGCTTGAACGTTAAATCTGCACGGATTTTCCGCTGGGAAAGGGAGGAATCCAGAATTTTCATGACTAGGAATTTCGGGTCGGCGTCACTGGAGAATGCGGAGAGGGTACAGTGTGCAGCATATTTTGCTGAGGAGATATCAAAAGGGTTGTTGTTTGAGAGAACAGACCAAGTTCCTGCTCTCGCTGAGCTTATCATGGCTGGGTTTCTGTTGGACTTTGATGTTCCTGCTGTTCGGTTTCTGTTGAAGTTCAAGAACGTAAGGCTGCTTGAGGACGATGAACAGTTCTGCAGCTACCTTGCATAGTAACAAATCATGTAATGCTCCTGCATATATGCTCTTTCGCTCTCTCTCTCTGTGGACTGTGGGTAACATACTAACAATCCTTGCTAACTTTTCATCTCATGCAGGTTAAATGTTACTCCATTTGGATACTGCAACTCTGCGAGTCACTAATTCCCCCCTGTTTATCTGCATCAAAGTTTATTTTTTTATGTGCAAAGCCGCACTGGTACTGATTTACTGCTCTTAATTCCTAATTCATGCAGCTTATGTCCATTTTCTTGTAACCTATGATTTCTCACTGCTTGTGTTCTGACTAACTATAGGACTTCTGGACCACTACATGTGTACTCGTATGGAGAATGGTGGTTTATCATCGTGGCATAGCAAACTTTTTTGTTCTTGGGAGACAGAGTATGAGGCCGCAGGATTGAGCGATGCAAATTATTGCGTAGTCATGTTCAAGAGTTTGTTGTTTCGTTATGCTATCTCTATTATTAATGCTAATTATCAACTATGGCATGAATGCTTCCGAAAAAGAAACTGTGGCATATGGAAGTGTGTTTGTGTTAGCCATATATCGGTGCCTTCATACTTCAATTTAATCTTTATCGATGGTATTCGATATGAATGATAGTCTCCTATATAAACTATGTTTTCCTTAGATAACCATTGTCTTCCTTTTTTGAAGTAATAAATAAGTGGTTTCCTTACTATTCATTGAATAGTTGGTTAATTTGCCGGGTTGCATTTTGTTGAATTTCTCCAATCACGCCTCTTGTATACTTTGCACTCTTGGTTTCGGAATGAATGAAAAACCTTTTGTAAAGCAAAATAAACCTACTGGTTATTATTGTGGGCTGGAAATCTGAAACCATTACTTATTTCTTTGAAAGGGACCTGGAACCATTATATTACCAGGTAGGGAAACTGTATGTATATAGTTTGTTAGGGGAAAAGTTAAAGTTATTATCAGTATATATGTTTACAAAATAACAAGCTGTTCATAATTTTCAAAGAACTTTTGGTCTCCTTTGGATTGGAGGATGTTTGAAAGGAAAATGGAGGATTTGAATCCACAGGAGTTTTTCCAATTGAGGTCACTTGGATCATAAGATTTGGAGATGTCAAATTCCTATGAAATGCATTACCGTCTAGCACCTCATATTTTATTTTCATTTGCTAAGTCAATGCATGTTCTCTCTTCGTCCCTTCTCACTCTTATTCATGCAGGATTTCTTATAAAATTCATATGTTTTAATTCCTACAAACCAATTATCACTTTTTAGGGCCCCTTTGAATCGCACGATTAAAAAAACGGAGGAATATAAAAACACTATATTCTGACGAGAATACAAGTATAAAACAGAGGATTGTAAAACACATGAATGACTATTTGATTGGTCCAAAAAAAAGCACAGGAATCAGATAAGAGAGATAAGCTCAGAAGAAATTTTCCAAGAGGTTAGAGTAGATGTTAAATTTCCTACGTTTTTCCTCTAGAATCATAGAAATAGAAAAGTTTTCTACGTGCTTCCTTTTCTCATTTATACTTACGAATCAAAGGTATAAATAGTTTGTTTTTCCTCTATTTTTTCTTCAATTCAAAGGGGAACGTGTTGATTCATATTTTTCTTCTGAGAGCAGCCAGAGTACAGCACGTGTTGATCTTATTATGCATCATGACACGTACTGAGAGCAACATAATAAAATCCCATGACGTAATAAAATCCCATAATGCCCTTTGCTGCTATCACTAGCTTAGACAGAGCAACAGCAGGCTAGGACAGTAAGACAGACTGAGTCAGACATGGCGTACTCCCTCCGTCCAAAATAAAAGGCTAACTCTAGATTTCCGTGTCTAACTTTGACTGTCCGTTTTATATAAAATTTTTTATAATTCATATTTTTATTGTTGTTAAATGATTAAATATGATTAATATTTTATACGTGATTTCTCTTTTTAATTTTTTTCATAATTTTTTTAAATAAGACGGACGATCAAACGTTGGACACGGAAACTAGAGTTTGTCTTTTTTTTTTTTTTTTTTGACAGATGGAGTAGTGAAAGTGGCTTCCACAGCTCGACTAGTCACCCCAGTATGCATGAGTAGTGAAAGTGTTTTTGTTTGCCTGTCGTTGATACAAGGGAAAGTGAGGAATACTCTCTCCATCCCTTAAAAAACTCGGACTCTGTTTAATTCGTGAAAAGAAAATTTTTAAATATCACATCGGACTAATTTCATAACTCGTCTGGAAACCGTGAGACGAATCTTTTGAGCTAATTAATCTATCATTAGCACATATGAGTTACTGTAGCACTTATGGTTAATCATGTGCCTTATTACTCGTAGTTCTCCTCGTTTTGGCACCGGGGGTCCCACTGGCAGCGAGCCAGACTCAGTTCAGCGCTTATACTAACCGGGCCCACTGGGCCGGAGGCCCAAAACCCAAAACAAGTCCCAAACCCCTCTCCTCTCCCCTCTCCCCTCTCAACACTTCTCTCCCCGAGCCGCCGCCGGAGAGCAAGAACACGGAGGAGCGAGCGGGTCGTCGAGGGCGATGGCGGGAGGCGGCATGTTCGGCGGCGCCGGCGCGTTCTGGGCGACGCGGGCGCTGGAGGTGGTGAAGCGGAACGACTCCCCGGGACTGCTCTGGAAGCGGATCAAGCTCACCACCACCCGCAAGAACAACGCCAAGAAGCGCCTCAAGCGCCTCTGGCAGGTAAATCAATCCCCCCATGGCCGCGCCCTCCCCCATCCTCTTTCATCTCCGTTCACGTTTACCCCCATGCGAACCCCACCCGCGTGGATGAACGTTTCTTGCGGGGGGGGGGGCGTTCTGGTGATCTGCTCCCAACGATTCTGTTATTTTGGTGCCCAGTTTAAATTCAATTTCAGTGATTCCGTTTGGTGTAATCTAGGATTGGTAACATTTTGGGTAGTTTGATTGTGTCTAGTAGTATATAATTGGTATGGACATGCACTTGATTCCGGAAGTACTTGTTTGTGATTTTTAATTTAGTCATTTAAAGGAGAAGGGTTGATTGGGGATGAACAGCCTCAGTGGTGAAAACGGGTGGATGTTAAATTGGACCTCGTATTCGGACGGAGGCAACCATTCGGTTTTTGTTCCTTTCATATACCACCTCCAATGTCAAATTCACGTGCATAAGTATGCAGTTCGATAGGATACTTGATGTAGATTAATCGGTAGTATGGTAGTAGAAGTTAGGGCATTGGCATTGCAATTTGGAACTTGTTAATTTCATACGAAAGGGCTTACCTGCTCTTAGAGGAGTGGATTTTTTTAAAAAAAATTTCTCTGGGAATAATCCTATATACCTAACAGGAAAGCTGCTTGCTTGAGAATGTTGAATGTAGCATCATCATATTTACTTCTTAGTAATAGGAACAAATTGGTTGTTTGTGCTAACTGAACCTCATACCTTGAGTTTGCTGGTAGTCGGGTAATCCAATTCAAATCAAACTCTAATTTTGGAGAAAATCTAAGTCCAGTTCATTATTAGAGAAAAATACAAACAAAAACATGCAGGAGCCCTGACCTCTCCCCTCAATACCATTCCCATCTGTTATATGCCCATTAATCCACATTGTGTGTTTCTCATCAAGGCTAATCTTCACTTGTGTGATCTTTGCCTTGCTTGTGGGTTCAAATCATCCATGTGAGTTCTCTTTGCTGCTACACACCCCTGTTGCTTTTGCACTTTGACAGTGCAAGGTGTTGAGTTTCCTGGGCTATGACACAGTAAAGTTGTAGGCGCCTGGGCCCTGGGTTGTAATAATTAGTAAAGGACTGCATGGCAACTGGCAAAAGAAATCCTTGTTACATTAGGTGTGCAGTAGCCTGAAAAATGAGGAAGGATGTGTTCATCTTGTTGTGGATTTTATTACCCATTTTCATGGATATCAATTTTCTTCCTTTGATACTATCCATGGACTTAATTTGTTAATAGTGGAAGTAGATTATTGGGCAAAGGCAGACTCGGGTAATTTCAGGTCTTTGAGGGCCTCTGACCTGATCATGAGAAAGTAATGATTATGGAAGCTTTGGACAATTTTTTAATACTTCTATAAAAATCCAAGTTTGGTTGCATAGGTGAAAATTTGTGCTGCTTAGAATTAGAAGTTTATTATTGTGACAATTTATTGCCGTCTTTGACAGAAGTCATGCATTGCATAATACCTTTGAAAGTGGTTGCATTAACTTTAGTCTTTAAAGACATATATATATATTAAGTTGTGTAGTTGCTGAAAGAAATTAAACAAGGTTTACTTTAGCAAAGTTACTTTGGCTGATTTTGCATGTTAATTCAGGGTACAAGGCTCAAAATAACAACCAATTGTCTGTATAGCCCTGACAGAACTTTGAATGCCACTTTGGGGATGATCTTAACAACTTTCTTGTTCATTAACTTCTATCAGGAAACAGCTCTCAAAAACTGTAAAGCATTATGCTGACCCCATATTGATACATCAAAAAGTTATCTTCCTGGCTCCAAATTATGAAATCACCTCCACTAATATACAACAAAAAATTATAATCAAGATTACTAACTAGGGTAAGGGAATTTGAACCGATACCAACAAAAGCAAACAGTGGATTCTCTTTGGAGTCGTTTCCTTGTAGTGTTTGTAGTTAATGAGTTTTCACCCTCATAAGCATGCTCAGTAAGGAAAAGTACAAAGAGACAAAACTAAAGAGTTTCTACACATATATTTAGCTTGAGAACCATTGATGTGGAGAGGGAAAATAAAAGTAAGCCATATTCTGAAGAGTCTATAGGTTCGGACATTCAATGGTGTACCTTCTCATTTGTGATTTATTCTGAAGAGTGGAAAATGTGCATAAGATGAAAAGATAATAAGACCTCATGCATTTATAAAAAAAAAATGATAAGTCTCCTAGATTACAGATCATTTCCCTCTATTAGAACATACCTTTTTGACCACAACCACCTGTCAATCCCAGAACCTCAGATCTCAAGCTCAACCATACGAGGTACAATATGATATATAACCATGTTAAGGATATATGCCTGTATCTAAATATTCACTGTGTACATAGCAACTAATGCAGGTTTGTTCCATGCAAAATTTGTCTACGCAAACTTCAGTACTTTTGAGTTTGATAAGTTATATATCTTAGTGTTACATCAGAACCCAGTACCACCTAACTCCTCAGAGTGCTTTCTGTATGACATTGGTTGCAATGATCTTTTTTCTGCTGGTAGGTCAAATTTTATCTAGAGCCTACATTAGTATTAGTGAGACTCATGAAGTGTCAACATGCTGATATTCAGGAGTGAATAACAGGAATCAATTGACACTCTAAAAGGGTGGAAACTGGAAAGAGTTTCTGGTTTCATCATCAATACCTAATGATATAAAGGCTAGTGAATTTCTTATGCGTATTTATTGAACAGGATGAGGATCAAAATATGCAAATAAGGAAGGGGGGTCTTTTTAATTGCATAGGGCTTTCTAGAGTTACTAAGTACAGAACTTTGCATGCACTGTGAAGATTGTCGATCATCAGAGAGAGATCTAATTGATTTTCTTAGGCAGGAGGTAGGTAGGATGCAGTTGATGGTATCCTATGCTGAGATACCACAGTCAGTTAATTACAAAGTCTGTGACTAGTTGCACTCAAATTGTTGAAAAAAATATCTTTGCTACTGCTTCTTAGTGCATCAATATGCTGACCCATATTGATGCACACATTTCGTGCATGTGTGCATCACTTGAGCCTTTTGATCACCAACAACTTGTTACTTTTGATCACCAAAATGTGGTGCCATAATTTTAGCAATCCCTCGATTTTTGTTCTTTTGGAATGAAGGGCAAATTTCATATACCACCTCCAATGTCAGATTCACGCGCATAAGTATGCAGTTGGATAGGATACTTGATGTAGATTGACCGGTAGTCTGGTAGTAGAAAGTTAGGGCATTGGAATTTGGAACTTGTTAATTTCATAGGGAAGGGTTTACCTGCTCTTAGAGGAGTGAGATTTTATTTTTATGGAATTTCTCCGGGAGTTCTACATACCTAACAGGACAGCTACTTGCCAATGTTCTTGTAGCATCATCAAATTTTACTTCTTAACTGGGAACGAATTAGATATTTGTAGTAACTGGGCCTAATGCCCCAAGTTTGGTGGCAGTAATACAATTCAAATCATACTATATGGAAAATAAACTGAGTCCAGTTTATGAGAGAAAAATAAGAATAAAAAAAAGACATGCAGAAGCCCTGACCTCTCCCCTCAGGCCCTCATCCTATCCACAATGCGTGTTCCTCATCAAGTCTCTAGACCCTACCTCTGCTTCTCATCTTCACTTGTGTGATCATTGCGTTGATTATGAGTTCAAACCATCATGTGAGTATGTGACCTGTTCCAGTTTCATGGATATTAGTTTTTAATACTACCCCCATGGCCCCATCCAATGCATGATGCTGGTTAGTTCAATTTTGAACTAACCAACGTCAAACAAAAAGAAATGGAGGGAGTAGTAGATTAGTGGGCAGACTTGGGGACCCCTGACTTCTAGAATGTATTAAAATCCAAGTTTGGTTGCATGCATTGCAAATGAACCATTGAAAGTGCTTGCATTAAGATTTAACTTTCGTCTTTAAAAACATATATTAAGTTGCGTAGTTGCTGAAAGAAATTAATCAAGGTTGCTTTGGCAAATTTACTTTGGTTGATTTCGCGTGTTATTTCAGGGTACAAGGCTCAAATACCAATTGTTTGTGTAGCACCAAGCAGAACTTTTAGTCCCACTTTGGGGATGATCTTAACAACTTTCATGTTAATTAATTTTCATGGCTACATCAGGAAACGGCCCTAAAAAATGTGAAGCATTATGCTGACCCCCATATTAATGTATCAAAAAGTTATCTTTCTACCTCCAAATTATGAAATCACCTCCACTAATATACAATAAAAAAATTAATCAAGATTACTAACTAGGGTTAGGGAATTTGAACTGACTCAAACAAAAGCAAACAGCAAAATCTCTTTGGAGTCGTTTTCATGTAGTGTTTGTAGCTTATAAGTCTTTACCCTCATAATGCTCAGTAAGGAAAAGTACAAAAGAGACAAAACTCAAGAGTTTCTAGTTTCTACACCTATATTAAGCTAGGAAGTCCCTAGAAATCTCACCCTCTTGAGAAGAGTCTACATGGATTCAGACATTCACTGGTGTACCTTCTCATCTACGATTTATTCTGAAGAGTAGAAAATGTGAATAAGATGAACATATAATAAGACCTCACAAGGTATGCTGCATTGCTGCATTTATAAAACACTGATAGTCTCAGACACAGACCATTCCTAAATCAAAATGTAGCTATTTGACCACACTTCCTGTCATTCCCAGAACCTTAGGCCTCAGCCATATGAGGTGCAATATGATATAACCATGTTAAGGATATATGCCTATATCTAAATATTCATTGTTTACAAAGCAAATAATGCAGGTTTGTTCCATGCAAAAGATGGAATAAATTGACACTTTAAAAGGGTGGAAAGAGTTTCTGATTTCATCAGCAATACCTAAAGATATGAAGGCTAGTGAATTGTAATGTGTTATTGATTGAACAGAATGAAGAGTAACATGCAAATAGGGAAGTGGGTTCTTTTTTATTGCACATGACTTTCTAGAGTTAGTAGAGTATTAACTTTACATGCACTGTAAAGATATGGATGTACTTGATTTGCTCTAGGCAGGAGGTAGGTAGGATGCAGGGAAGGCACTTGATTGTATCCTATGCTGAGATACCACGGTCAGTTATAAAGTCTGTGACCAGTTGCACTCAAGTGTTGAAAAAATTATCTTTGCTACTGCTTCTTAGTATATACATTTGGTGCATGGAGTGCATCACTTGATTCTTTTGATCACCACCAACTTGTCACTTGAACCAACATTTTATCCTTTTTCTGTACTCACCTAGTCACCTTTCTTCCTCTCTGTGAAGTTTGGTCACATAAACAACTATACTGCCAATATAATTAATTTTGTACTGTTCTTATTCAGTTTGTTGGATGCAGTTAATACTTAATACCCTTCACTGAGACTAACTTTAGTGAAGCATATGGAATCACAACATGCTAGTTGAACTATCCAGATCTTCCGTCATTACTCCCTAATGAATACCTTAAGTAATTCATGAGTTCAACTTAGCAGTTCTGTTTGTTGGTGCAGCCACAATTACAGTGTTATTTGTTTGGACGATCATCACTGGTATTTATCTTGTTCAGTTTATATGCATGATTGAAGATCATTTTAGCTTTGAGAACTCAAATTATTTGCATAATTTCACATTGCTTGTTATTTGCTCACATTTACAAAGTTACCATGTTCCCTCATTTGACTATTTTGCAATTTACTCATGATACATTATATCTGTATTATCCCAACTAACTATTACTCAGTGGTTAATTCAAATGGGATGCACAAGTGCATTGTTCACTTTTGTCTATAAGTTTTGTTTCGAAGTATGATTTGGAGTTTAAATCTATGATTTGTTTAGATTATTTTATTCCATCCAAAAAGAACATATCAAACGAGGTGTAGCAAAAACCAAGAATAAATAAAAGAAACTCTTTCCTCTTAAGCTTTTTCCCTGAAATTTTGTCGGGCAATAATATGCTATGATTTGTTAGAAGATAGTTTTTATTAGATACTTCATTTTCTGCAACAGTAACAGTTCAAATGAGGTGGAGCAAGAGCCCTAGGATAGACTAAAAGAACATTAATTTGCTGTTATTATTAATTGGTATCAGCTAGACAATTAATTTGCAAAGTCCTGAACCAAGGATCTGCAATAGAACCTCAAAATCCCCACTTAACTCCTAAATGATTATTTATTTCCACATTCCATCCAAGTTGTGCAGTTTATCCCATTGAATTTGAGCCAATATTTGTTGGATGGCGGTTATGAGGCTCTTTTACTATGTTTTGGTTAAAAATTTGTGATTGCGTGCACTTCCATAATGATAATGCACTGTCCTTTGATGCGAAAGATAAGGCAAAATAGCGTTCACGGGTTGCATCTCTATCGTTTTCACTTTGAACTCTATTGGCCAGTTATCACTTAACCTTATAGTATTCTACTATTCTTGCATTTCATATTCCCAGATCAGATGAGTGAAATGCTAATGACTGTTTGCTACGTTTTTGTTTTCAGAATGAGGCAGTTATAAGGGCTTGTGGTGAAGCAGAATCGTCGTCGTCGTCAACATCAAACACCGCATCGGCCTCTGGGAAACAACAGTAGATCCCAAAGTCAATCTGATGACATGCACACAGGTTTAAATGCAATTTGAAAAGGCCTCTGCATGACAATGCTGAAAGCCTCTCCATGTTTCCAAGCTTTGTTACTTCATCAACTGGAACAAGTACATGCATGTACACATCCAACCTTTTTTCATCAAGAGGACACATACATCATTGCTTGCTGCCATATGCTTCCTCTCCTGCTTACATCACCCTTTAGCATCTTCCTCTCCCCACTGAACCCCACAATTTTTGTGCTTTGCATCACTTCCCTGAAGCTTCATATTTGTCTGTTTGCTTCCATCCACTATGCATCATGCTTAGATCAGTGTACTCACATCTACTGTTATGCAGATGCCTCTATTCTAGAATTCTATTCAGCATTGCAATAATGTGGAAACTTGAAAAAAAATGCAATGCACCCCCCATTATGTCGTTGACGTCAGAGGGTCACCATTTCCCAAGCTTGCAAGTTTGGTTAAAGACATGAGACGAGGAGGAGGAGTAACCTGTTGCCATCACGGACAGCTCTTGTCCGTTGTGATGTTTTTGCCATGTAATCTGCTCCTCTCCCATGTGCCAGCATCTGCATCTGCATTAAACATATGTGTTTTGATGTGAGCTTAACACGCAACAGAAATATCTGTCCTGCGTGTGACCTTTTTCACCTGTGGTTGGGTCGGCAGGAGGAACCAAGAAGAGGCAAGGGCCGGCGCCGGCAGCAGATAAAACAGAGGCTTGCAAGCATGTGTTATTGATGGATTGTTGTGGTTTTTTCTGACTTTGTTTACCGTACATAAGGTTAAGGTTGGGAACTTCACCTTTCCGTTCACAAAAGAAGCGATCCAGTAACGCGTGATTAATTACTCCCTCCGTCCCACATTGAACGCATTTTTAAGTTTCTATGTCAATCATTTGACCATCCGTCTTATTTATTTAAAAAATTTATGAAAAAATTTAAAAAATAGTCACGCATAAAATACTATTCATATTTTATCATCTAATAACAATAAAAATACTAATCATATTTTTTTTAAAATAAGACGTATAGTCAAACGTTATATAAAAAGCTGAAAAATGTATTCTTTATGGGATGGAGGGAGTAAGCATTAGCTAAAATAAAGTTAAATAATAGATAACTATGATTTTCTTTAAAGCAACTTTCCTATACGTGAGGTTGATAGGGCATGTACTGTCTGTGAAGTGACTATACGTTGAGATAACGGAAAGAGAGTTGTCATGCCACTTGGGAAAATCGCTAGGGATTGGCCAAAATGACTTTGTGGCGTGGAGACAGGGTTCTGAATACTACCACTGTCCGGTTATTAGATTTGGATAGAAGTTCAAGTCTAAAATGTTGAATTTGTACCAATTGGTAACCATCTAGTTGTTGCACAAAAGTGTTGTAGATTAAAGTTTGAATTTATATCCTCTCGCCGGTAATAGGGATGTAAACTATACTCCTCCGGTTTCATATTTCTTCACGTTTTGGACAGTGACACGGTTTTCAAAATATGTCTTTACCCTTATTTTTCTGTTATAATATATACAATATATAAATATATGTTTATTTTTATTATAGAAATTTGAAAGACAAATTCATATATGGTTTTCTTGTTCTTTTAAACTAAATACTTTTAAAGTTATTGATAGTTAAAGTTACACAAGTTTAACTTTAACCTCCAAAACATCGAATTATAGAACCGGAGGGAGTATCATTTTTACGGAGACAATTCTTGGACCATCGTGAATTTTCATATTTATCAATGTTAAGTATATAGTTCCGAGTTCCGACTGCAACATGATGGCAAAATTAGAAAAAAAAAATCAAATTTTATATATGACTAGGAAATTCAAATATTAGATATGAGTAAAACATAAATGGTCAAAAATGGTGTCACCTTTACGGAAACGACCTAATTGATCCACTGGACAATGGTTTGTTATTGGTCACTCCTCTGGGTAGATTATTTTTTTTAACCACTGTAATTTCTTCATTTCCTTTCTGTGTGTGCGTTTGAATGATGACCAATTTTGACCCAAAAAACTCAAATCAACTCGAAATTGAAGAAAACAAGAAATTATAGAAAGATAATAACCCACATATATACTGTATCTGCCGAGAGCCGACGAGTATCTGAATCTTCCACTACAACGCTACACCTGTTACAACTTGTGTTGAGCAGCGAGCTAGGTATTGTCCTTTTCTGATTAACATACAAATTTTAACTTGATTTATAATAGAATTGTTAAACGATGCATTTTGTTTAAAAAATATAATAGAACTGTCAAACAATGCATTTTGTTTACAAAAATTATATATATTAAGTTACTTTAAAATAACAAATAAATCTATTCTCTAAATTCATATAGTAATCGAAATTTAATTTATTTTGTGTGGAGTAATAGCTAGTATCTTTTTTTTAATTAACTACATCTTCATTTCCATCTTCCTTTAAACCAAGGCCACTTGAGTGCGCTGACAAAAGTGACAAGCAGATGAAATTAAAACAGCCCATTAATTCGTCCATCAATTTGTTAGGAAGAAAACAAACATAAACAACAGCCCAGGATGGGATGCGATCTCCGTGATCGCTCAGTGTCGCTAGCGTACACAACTCGATAACTCATTAGAAACAAAACGCTTCCCCCCTCTTGCAGCATGGCACTACAAGTCGTATGTGTATTTTAGGTTTGACACTCCATGGAGATCCATCGACAGACAGATTCTCTATTAATTCTTCCCTGGTTTCAAGTTTTCAACCCCCCGGACCTATGGGCCGAAGTCTCATTGGTTACCCATATAATCCCTAAGAAATCAAAGCGATTTATTAGGAAATAAAAATTAATTTATAGTTAAAACTCTTATACAGTTATTCGTGACGATTTAGAAGCCAACGCTAAAAAGAATGACGTCAAAAGTTTCTTAAAATAAACTTTAAAATTTAAATTTTAGACTTTTGCTTTGACTTACTCCCTCTGACCGTAAATATTTGACACCATTTGACTTTTTTAAACATGTTTGACCATTCGCCTTATTAAAAAAATTAAGTAATTATTAATTCTTTTCCTATCATTTGATTCATTGTTAAATATACTTTTATGTATACATATAGTTTTACATATTTCACTGAATAAGACTAACGGTCAAACGTATTAAAAAAAAAAATCAACGGCGTCAAATATTTAGTGACGGAGAGAGTATTAGGTAAACCGATGGTGCGGCGCGGGAGGTGACACTGCATACTCCTGGTACGCAACGCAACTCGATCGGATATGGGAAGGACGAGACGGACTGGGGAGGGGACCCCGGCCTCAATGGGGGCACATATTCTCGTACGGTCGAACGCAACAAACGCGACGCGACAAAAAGAAAAAAAAAAAACCCCAACGTGCCGTGCCGTCCCCGCGCACGCACGCAGTAGCTAGGCACAACAGCTGCTTCCGTCCGTCGTCGGGAGGCTGGAGACGGGGACGGCGACTACCGCTGCGACTGCGTACGTGAGAGTGTAGCAAACATCCACCCATCCATCCATCGATGCATGGAGACACGGCCCCCTCCCGTTGCGTTGCGTGCCGACGTCGTAGGTTCGTGGAGGGTACGATGATCATCTGATTGGTCAATGCATGTGTGTGATCATGCATATCATGGTTGGTTAATTCGGTTTGGTTCCACCCTACTGTGATGTGTCCTCCCTGCATCATGGGATTATTCTAGGGACCGTTTGGCACAGTACTCCTGCGATTCTCGATTAATTATAGATCCTTATTAGGATACATGTTGGTATTACTAGAGAAATTATCTCTCTCCAATTTCAAACTGGCATCTCTCCCGGTTTTAAAATCAACAAAGAGAAATAGGTACTGATGATTAAACACCATTAATGAGCAACACACCCATGTACATGTACGTTCTTCATCGTTGATTCCCTCCTCAATTCCTCATCAACTATGTCCGCGCCATAGCTCGGTACACCCATCGTATGCGCTAACAACCCCCCTTGCTGTCCTCCCATTGTTGCCATCGCCTATGATCATATCTGGATCTGGCCCTGCATGCCAGCCTCCATCGCTCACATGCTTGTCCCAATAGTTTGTAGGCAAACCGTAACTGGTTGCGCTTGCAAAAATCAACATGCATTTTAGGATACGGCTTCTTAAGAGACGATCCACAAGCAAAAATTAATTTTCATAGGTGGGTCTCTTAACATACCCGCATGAAAAAATGAGCCTATTTTTACAAACGGCGTACCTACCACCAGCTCACCACCACCCTAAAATATCAAATTTCCTCTCTCCACTCCTCACTCTCTCCCCACTCCTCCCTTATCCTCTCCTCTCTTCTCATCTCCTCTCCTCTCTTCCTACGACGTATGGCTCCGACAGTCCACGGCGGGAGCGACAGCGGACTAGGCGGGAGGAGCTCGAAGGGGGAGGTGCATGTCGACGGCGACAACGGTGGGCCCTCCTCCACTCTCCTCTGATAGCGGTTGCCCTCCCTCGTGCGAATCTGCAGGTTGCAGAGGGGCAGTGGAGGCGTAGGGAGGGGCGACGGCGATGAGCTGCGGGGACTCAGCGACGACGATGTCGACAATTGGTGGCGGATTTTGGCAACCACGTTGCCGGCAAAAAACCCATGCACATTCTTCGCTGGCGTATGAGCTAGGGTTTCGAGTTTTGATTTTTTTGGGGGCATTTTTATTTTTTTTTCAGATTTTTATTTTTATAGATAGACGGCATAAGCACCCGCATGCGTATGCGAGTGCGCCTACATGGAAAAATAGCAATTTTCGCAGATACTTTCGAACATCGGACGGTTCAACCGCAAACAAAAATAGGTTTTGACCGTATAAAAATTGATTTTCGTAGTAGTGTACTGTGCCAAAGGAGGGTGAGCCTGCAGTGGCAGTGGCGGTGACTGAGGGGGAACAGGGTACTATGGGTGAGAGGAGTGGGGAAATTAAGCCCTTAATGAGTTGACGGTTCAACCGGTCAACCAATTTAATATGGTCCTTGATGTATCTTTTGCTGGTTCAGAATAAAAACTAGCAGTAATGTGTATCTCGCTGCCGACCTTTATTGATCGAGAACTAGCAGCAATTAACATCGGTTTAATTAGACGGTGCAGTGATGATGCTTCTACAGGAACCACAAGTGATTTGATTTGGCGGTATACATCTTTTATTCATTTTGTATATATACTAGCTAGTGATATGAGACTATTAAATGTATACAACTGTCAGCAAGCACTGGGGAATTAAAAGGAAACAAACTGTTCCTGGCTAACTCGATCAAGCGTGTCACTCGTTTCAACAAGCTTCAAAATTTCCTATTCCCGTTCGATTATATTTGTTCCCTTCCTTCGATCCGGTGACGACGACGACGACGACGACGGACAACGACACCCCCAGATGAGACGGTCAAAACGGGGCAACCCAACCCCAG